AAAAAAAAAGAGATAACTAGCTTCCTTTTTTTACACTGTAAAGGGTTATTTTTTCACAGTCTTGAAACAATTCTTCATCCATTCCTGCAAACCGTGCAGCAAGATGTGCAGTTTCCACCTAAAAAATGTAGCCTCACTCTTCACGAAAATTCTAAATTATAATCATAAAACAAAAACCACTGGCAAGACTTCATCACTATAGAAGGCACCGCAAAATAAAATAAAACAAGAAAAATATCACAACAGCTGCTATCTTCCAATCAAAAATAGAAAGCTCTATTCCAAGGCAATAAAACATACCCGGCAAAAAAAATCAATTTAAAAAAACCTTTCTGCGAGTAAAATACAACAATTCTGAACAAAAATAAAAAAGGAGACTTTTTTAAAACGGGAAATTTACATCTAGAAGTCATAGAAACCGTTGCTAAAAGCATTCCTCGCCACACAACTCCGCCTAAAGCTAACTACCAAGAGCAGCCAACGAAGAATGGTAAGTTGCCGAAAAATTCTTTTTTATGGAACAGCTAACCTAATAAAAACCTTCAAAAGTTTAAGATTTTAAAACCAAATTTAAGCAGTCAAACTATGCGACCTCTTCTTTTTTTTTCCGCAAAAGTAAATGAGTCATTTTAAAATAAATTTTACCAAAAATACGCTTGGAAGAGCTAACTATGAATTTTTCTGCTCCCCTCCTGTCAAAAAACAACTAATTTTCATCGCTTCGTAAGTTGCTACCGCTCTGTTTATGACTGAAAATACGTGTTTTCAGCTGCCAATAATTGCAGCACTAATAGCTGAGAAGACAAGAAGTTACAAGCTACCGCTTGTTGGAATAACTGGATCAATTGTTACCTATGGACTTCTGATATACTGTTTGGTATCACTGTGGGATACCAATAACACAATCAACTTCTGGGACGAAGAAGACGCGAATATGACGTTAAGTTTTATAACAAAATAATTATTAGAATTTTTGTACTAAAATTCATTCTAAATACATTTACAACCTTTTCCTGCTTTGAAACACCACAATTAATTTTTTGAAACAACAGAAGAAAACGGCTAGTTAAGGTGGACTGAAGTAAGTCCAGATAGCAGCTTCGGAAAAAACAGGATATTTTCGACTTCTTTAAATATCTGTTTTTTAGGTAAATATGAAAAATGCCAACTGTAATCTATTCTTGTTGGAAAAATTCAAATTTAGCAAATTTTCAATAATCTACTTTTTTTAAGGCTATCAACCTTCAATGAAAACAATACAAGCCAAGCGTACGACACAGTTATAAGTCTGACATACAGTGAGAACAGTGAAGAACCAACGCAGTCAAGTTTTTCGAGCAGTAAATGACCTTCAGTGGAGAGAAAGTCCGGTAAACAAGAAAGCAGCACTTGATATAACTTTTTTCTATATTAGTTTCAAAGCAAAAGAAAAAAACTCCCCTTGTCCACCCAAGATGAAATTTTAAACGGCAAAGATAAATGTTCTGTGACCGCTTCTAACGTCGGATTAGATATTATGACAGTTCCTGGTCTCAAAGACGCATAGAGGAATTCAAAGCAAGATATCTGAAGTAAAGAAAATATTAAATCTGTTAATAACATTCTGAACAAAGCAACAGTTTATCAACAGTACTCAAAAGTACCTGTTCTTTTAATGGCAAAAAAAAGCTAAAAACATTGTTCATAACTATGACATCTGCAGCAGCCACAACTTCCCGTTGATTGCGCACGTCATCATTAATAACCTTAAAGCATTAAACTGTTAAATAAAAGTTGTAATTGCTACGAAAAATCATAAAATCGAATAAAAACCAATACTATTAAATTTTCAAAACCGAAACAGAATAACTTTTATACGGTCCTGCATCCCATTTTCTACTACAATCTTCTTCTGCAATGCACACAAATCTTTATTCATTTCAATACCTACTGCATTGACGTATCCTCCACTAAAATTAAACAAAAAAGAGAAAAATCTTTGCAATTCAGAAATTTTACTATATTTTCAGTCAAATTATACTAAAACAACCTACCTGTAGTAGAAGACACCATAAAGAACAGCACCGAGACGAGAACCAATGTCTAATATAAGCCTGTTATGCATTGCTTGATTCAGAGGGACAAGAACAGTGAATATATATCTTAACTGTAAAACGTAGAGTCACTTAAAAGTGGAGAAAGTAACAAGCAATAAGTCCAGATTAAAACAATCTTACTTGGTCAATACTTAAAGAATGTGTTATAAAGGTTAACGGTTTCACTTCCTTAGAGCCACACTTAGTACAGAAATTACGACTGAGAAGGTTAGCATCCACTAAATCGTCTACATCATCATCGTCATATAAAAATGAGTCAACATGAACCTGGAATCACCAGCACAAACAAATCGTTCCAATGTGCTTTCCAACAAATAATATTACTTGTAAATGAGCCCATTCATTAAACTAGCTTCTAATAAAATAAAGAGTATATAAATCAGCTTCCAATACTAATTATCTTATATTGACTTGTATGTTTTTCGCAGGATTCATAATACAGTGACAGGTGCAAAAACCACACAAAGAACCAGAATTATGCTTGGCTTATTACGCATTAAAAAATGAGTGTAATACCAAACTCACCGTAGTTGCTGGATCACAATCGGAATCAAGTCCATCCTCTGGCCAAAATGTAGTCTCAGACTCAAAAATAGCGTCTTGAGGAACCTGTAAATATCCGAGTGACAAATGCAAGATTAAAATTTTTGTGCTTGATATGATTTCCATCAGGCGGCTTAAAGAAGCAAATTTTTTTCAAAAAATACTAGTATCCTGAAAGGCGACAAGATTTAACTCTGACTTAGCCACTCCGAATTATATCTACTTTAACCTTCTCTGATTATCGACTGTTCTAATGTAGTCATGAAAAAACCATTGTTTCTTGACTTATTTGGTATGTGGAATTCTCTTGGATAATTTTCCTATAGTTCATAAAATCAAAACGGTTTAAATTCTCATCTTCGCATTTCCCAACCTAATTCAATGTTTTCATAACAAAGTCCGAACATAATTTCCAGAAAAAAGAAATAATAATAAAAACTTGCCGAATTACACTAGGAAAAATTAAAAATTTACTTGCGCTCTCATTTCTACTGCAATTTTTCTTAAAAATGCATCTGATTCGACTACTGCTGCATCCGTTGGAAACGAGTTTGTCAAAAAAGTAGATGCGTTTGATGTGCCACCTAAAAACCTTCCAAGATGTTAAAATAATTTTGCTCATATTATAAGTACTAGAAATAAAGTGCCTGCAAAACTTCCCAGAGAACGATAAGTTTAAGAAACGCATTAAATGTGAAGAAATAAAACTCCGTCTGACATGATTTCCGGTGCTGTCGGCCATCGATAACGGCGAAGCTGTCATTTATCCAACTTAAAAATTCAGCAACCTTCCGTGGTTCTACTTGCTCCAGCAACTTTAAGAAACTTTCTTCTGCTTCAGCCAAGTTAAGAACCATAGTCCCACTGAAATAAAAATAAAAACGATATAGCTAATCCAAGAAAGAAAAAATACACCAACAGGAATACGACGCGCAACTACCCAAACACGCTGCCTCATCTAGCAAGCAGAAAGCTTTTTAGAATAAGTTGAAAACGAATTCAAAATTATCAGTCATTTCAATATTAATAAAAAATTGAAAAATCTCACTCTTTCTTAGCATTTTAGAATGTCAATAAAGAGTACTGTCAATTTTAAAAACTTATTTTCAGCTACATATTATCAACGGCACTATAACATGAAACGAATCGGTACTTATAAACAGGCATTACTAGTGGAACAGAAGGAATGGAAAGAGCACTGAAAAAGTTTTAGTGGTTAATAATTCTACTTCCGCAATCAGTCATTATGCAGAAACCACCTAAAATCAGCCATTTCTCAACCTACTGACACAATCTTCCTTCAACAATCTACACAGTGTTCGAAAAGAGTGTTACTTACGATGCAGTTTACACACCGTGACCCAGTCGTAGCATAAAAAAAAGCTGAATGACGACGTCAAAGGATTTTAATTCAAGCGTAAGGTTTGACAGCCTGCTTAACCAGTTCTCAAATGAAAAAAAAAA